GAAACGCGGTACTACCCATTTCCTATCTGGAAAGTTTGGCAATGCCACTTTTTCTGTGGTATTCGCCAATGTCATTGACTCGTCATTGTTAAGGGTTTCCAACTCACTAACGCCCTAATTTACTTTATAATGTATTTGTCGGATAATATCGATCTAAAATAGAAAAAATAATCTAAAGTGTAAGCGAATATATCGATTTTCGGGGCCCCCGTGACGATGGGGCCATGGGCACGGGCCCCGTGTGCCCTTATGCTAAAGACGGTACTGTGTAGAATTACATACTTATGCAAAGATCACACTTTATTTTAAACTTTGTTTTATCTTAAGCTTAGATAAGTACACATTCATGTCTAGATAATGAATAAAGAAAGATATTACCCAATATAGCAGAAAGGTTTTCTAGTCAAACGTATTTTAAACATGGAGGGAGAAGAGAAGTTGTCATAACCGTAATTACAAGTAGGTAATTTGAATTTTAAAAGTTACTTATACACTATACAATAGCATAGTACCTCTATTCTTTTTGATCAATTTTTTTTTCATAAAATAATATAGAAGTAAGTTTCGAAATTTGAATCATCGAACGCTGAATAATTGACATATTATTAGTTTCGTGTAAATTAAATTTAAATAACGCCGACAGAGTATTTAAACCCAATGTTGTATCAATAAACAGTTCAGTTCACAATAAAGCATATTTAAAATAATTAAAAAGTGTGCTCGAACACGGGCTGGTGTAATGAATGCAGTGACGTTAACGACGTCGCTGACGACCGCCATTTGTCAGCCGTCAGCTGTCAGCTGTTTGTCAGCCACAATGGTGTCAGGCACCGCGCGGACGATTGACAACTGTCACTCATTGAACCTACCAAGAGTTGTCGAATACAAGTCGAAACTTTATGACTAATACTTAAAGAAAATAGCAGGCATATATGGGACTATTGTATATCTCGCCTTTCGTATCTCTAGAGATTATTGTTTATTGTTGTCTTTTTTTGACTGGTAATTACAGTTTTAATTACCAGATTTTTCGAACTCTGCGTTCAAAAGTTATTTTAGTTTGTAGTTTGCATATAGACTGTACTGAATTCGATACCAATGACAGCTGGCTGTCACAAATGAGTTGTCATCGCCGTCAACAAGTTAACCTAGATATCTTTAAAAAATCATTCGTTGACGATATTCTTTATCCGTCAATAAAATATTGCTAAATACACTAGTGAGCTTATTCATTGGTCTCGATGTAAGCATATCGTTTTTTTATGTAATTTATATTTTATGCATGGCAAGTTTAGAAAACGTAGGAATTCGTTTTGTTGACAACTCTTGAACGTTCAGTTATGGCAGCTGTAACAATTATTAAAGAAGAATTTTTACTTGTAACAAAGTTCTAAAAATATGATAATTACATGAAAAAGTAAGGATGACATGAGGTAGGGGTACAGGATCTGTAGTTCTCCTTTTATCCAAATTAGTTCAGCGGTTATTGATTTCCCATACAAACTGCCACCCTCCCCCCTTTTCACCCCCTTAAACAATGATATCCTATATTCTTTCCCGGGGCTCAAACTATCTTTATACCAAAATTCATCTAAATCGGTTCAGCGGTTTAGCGTGAAGAGGTAACAGACAGACAGACACTTTCACATTTATGATTTTGGATTTGATTTCTTTGCAAAAATGTGACGTAAAAAGAGCACCTGTTGTTTTATGGTATACACCTTTTTTTTCCTCCAACTTTTACATTATTAATATAATATTTATTAAAAATACTTTAAATAGGTGAATACCAAACTACCTAAAAAATAATAACTTCGATACAAACCACATTATTTTCCTCAAACCCCCCAAAAAAAGACCTTGATATAAAACCTTTAATCAGCATAAATCATTGACAATCCGAGAATTTGAATACAAATCGTTTTCGCATCGAAATCGTAACTTTTCTTGGAAACAATAGTTACGTGTGTGCGGTGTGAGCTGACAGCTGTGGCGCGAATTATTAATGATCAGTTGATTCACACCTCCAAGCTTCCCACCTCCGTTGTCCTAGACACGAAACTGAAAAGCCACGTTTATTATTGTACATACTACTTGTCACTTTACAATATTACCTACTGTGGAAAATTAAAGGGTTCGGTTTGAACAGTGTCATTGTATTCATAATTTTCGTTTAGCTTACCGTTTGTTTCGTTTTAAGTTACCTAGAATTACCTCCTTTTTTTTCCTGTGAGGAAATCCCCTCGGATACCACTTACCGGTGGCAATGTTGGACTCGAACCGACTAAAACCGCAGGCCGTCTCAGGTATCAGTAGTCGGGGAACCAGGTGTACCCTAGAAAGGAAATCCCTTGTGCCCCGACGTACCTCGGGCCATCTACTTCGGGTAGACGACCTCCCCTGTGTGGGAACCCCCATGTTCCCTCTGTGCTCCCGGAGGGGGGCGCGCGCTCCTCAACACCCCGGCCTGCTTCCTCGCGACCTCCGGCGCCTGAGTCGTCTGCGGTACCTGGCCCGTTCCCGAGCCTGGCGGGCCGAAAGAGTTACCTAGAATTACCTCCTATGAAAAAATTTAATCTAAATTCTACAGGTTTTTATCATTAGCATTTTAGATTTCAAATAGATTGCGAAATTTCAATGTTTTCTGTTTGTTTAAAAAGCAGATTCGTCTAGATAGTTACTGTATGTTGTAGGTAGTTACTGTATGTTGTCTAGATAGTTACTGTATGTTGTATGTTGTGTTTAGAATTTGTTTGTCGTCAGTTTGAAATGTATGCACTCGGTATATATTAGTTTAATTCTTAATTTTTTGGGCCGGCTCGAGCGTAGTGATACCACGGCCTCACAGAACACCGGTGTTAAGCAATTCTTTCGTTGCCTTTCACTGAGTGAGTGAGGTTACCGGAGCCCCCTCCCGCTGACTCGAGCGGGAGGGACTCCAAGGGCAGCAACGCACTTGTGACTTTTGAGTTGCAGGTGTTCATGGGCGACGGTAGTTGCTTACCATCATCTGATCGTTTGCCCCTTATACTATAAAATAAACTTTCAAAAGGAGGACAAATAACCTTAGAATACAAATATATTTTGGTGTATTTTATGCGATATCTACGCCATTACTGACTCGATTTCGATATCTCTTTTTTAATTGATTTCTAGTTCTAATCTCAGGTTGGCACGATAAATTTAAATTACCTAAGTGCTGCAATATATAACTTATTCAGTGAAAAAAGTCGCAAGTGGCACTTATTCTGAAAGTACGTTATTAAGTGAAACCAAACATTTAGCCTATAGAAAAAAGATGGCCATCGACGAAGGGAGCTTGGACCCTGTAATTAACAGAAAAACATTTAGGTAGTAAATAAGGTCACTCCAGAGAAAAAAGAATAAGATATGGAATGACTGTTGGTCTAGTGGTTTGTGACCAAGACTAAACCGGAGGTCGTGGGCTCGATTCCCACCCAGGACAAATATTCTGTGATGAGCACGGTCATTTGTTCTGTCTGGGTGTAATTTATCTATAAAATGTATGTATTTAAAAAAAATTATAAGTATGTTTATCAGTAGTCTGGTTACCATGGTACAGGCTCTGCCTAGTTTGGGATCAGACGGCCATGTGTGAGATGTGTGATATATATTATTATTATTATTTATTATTATAAATGTCGGTATTCAGATGAGCGTTGGCTGAAGCTCTACATTGCTACATTATAAAATGAATTAATAAATTAAAAATGAAAGAATCAATGAAAGGCTATCATTTTACATAAACAATATATTTTTAGGGTGCTTTGTTAAAAAATATATACACACTGGTTATTTCTAATCTAACAAATCTTTACAGAATCAAGGAAAATTTCTGAAAAACACCACCTATAAAACAATAACAATAAAACAAAACTTTGTGAGAATCTAACTATAAACTAGTAATTGGCAACTCCGCAATTTAGTTCCCAGCCTATGCAGTGGTGATGTCGTTGGTGATCGCGTGGTTCACAAACATTTACCACCCCGTCAACCATCACCACAACTCAATAAATATCCTCCAGACGCGAATTAACCATGAATAGTTGATGTATAATGTATGAGACCAAGTAATAAGCAACTTCTGCATATTGCAAATATTGAGTTGCAAAACTATTTCAATTGTTTTCGCAAACAATAAATTATGCTGTTGATTATGCATGATCGCAGTCGTGAAGGAAAGAATTAATAAGGGTACTTACTATTGTTACCGTAATAAATTAAACAAGTTCGTTCATTTGTTTCATTGAAGTGGGACAATTTTAAATGGGCCTTCGAGCCATAAGTTATTAGTATCGACTAAATTTAAATAGAGAGAAGTGCTAGAATTCGTCTTTTTTAGGAGACTTTTAGATAGGGCTGCCTTTGAAACAAGATTTGACGATTATGGCTACTGTAAATTATTTGTTGTTAATTGACCGGCCTGTTGGTCTAGTTGTAGTAAACCTGACTGCTACGCCAGAGACGACCTCGGCTTCGATTCCCACCCAGGACAAATAATTATGTGATGAGCACGGTCATTTGTTCTGTGTCTGGGTGTACTTTATCTAAAATATGTATGTATGTATTTAGAAATATATATGTATGTTAATCAGCAGTCTGGTTACTAGCTCTAGTAGTAGTGTACTGGCTCTGCCTAGTTTGGGATCAGACGGCCGTGTGTGAAATGTGTGCAAATATTATTATTGTTAGTTTTTAATTTACCGAACCTACCATATATTGATATAATACATCTACATACAGAATATCCGATTAATATAAAATATTCTTCAAAATAAAATCTTCATTATTCCTGACGAAATCAATTTATCTTGTGTGTTAGATGCTAGAAGGTATATAAAACGTGAGTTATATACGTACGGTGATGCCCTCTTACAGTATACTGGTTATTTTATAGTCTTTATTATCTGTTTTACTATTGTGTACATTTGAAACATTGTAAAAGTGTAACAAATAAACTCTAGTCTCCTTCTTCGCAGATGTTGTCCCCTAGAGAAGATGATGATGACGACAGCCATCTATGCATTAAGTGCAACGCTACAATCGTCGGTTTGGACAATTATGTAAAACATAGAAAGCAGAGATGTGGAAAACTAAAACCTCATGATCCAAAAGCAGACCTACCACCCATCGACCACTTGGAACCGTCTTATAGCCTCGGAGCAGATGTGTTCTTTCAGTCTCTGGAATTGCAAAGCAGTGTCAAGAAGACTTCTTTATCCAGACTTACACCCCCAATCCCGATATCGAAATCCAGTTTAGATAGAAAAACTTCTCTAGTCGTCTCAACATCTTCTAGCATAATACCAAGAATGAGTCCTCTAGAGACTAATCTTAGAGGAGAATACTGGATTGGTGGGCACAGCTTAAGAATTGGAACCAGCGAGGATAATCAGACAAAGCTGATAAATGCGGTGGCCAGTATCAGTGGTGCAGTAAAAAAAGATATGCCCACTTCGCCGTACGACATCAATTATGATTACAAAGGTGACGATGATAGTGACGAGTCAGAGGAACTAGAAGACGATGATGAAGAAGACCATCCCAGTGGGAGTAAGTGGAAACCACCGGCTAATTATACCGGTGGCAAATGGCGACCGGCGTCGCCAGACAATGAAGATTGGGATACGCGAGACGAACAAGAACACACCGGTGGAAAATGGAGACCGTTTATGCATGATGGTAATGAACGAGATGAAGATTATGATGCGCCACCTCCAGGTCACACTAAAGGAAAATGGATACCGGGTGCTAATGAAAAAACTCAAATTATGCAGACGACGATACAGTCCAAAGGCTCTGTTCAATATTGGTGTGGCCCATGTAATAGAAGACTTGGTTCAAGAGCTATTTACGAAAAACATCTAAGATCTAGTTTGCATTTGAAGAAGGTTCTACCAGAACACGAATTGGAGTTTGCAGGTCATTTAATGCCTATTAAAAATATTCCAGATAAACGGACAACACGTCCATCAAGATTTGTAAATGATAACATTTACTTTCAACCAGAGAAAAAGAGGAAAGTAGAGAATAAATTGAATGTCAAAATAGAGAAAAAGAAACGAAAGAGAAAACCCAACTTTGTACACTGTTCTGGCTGTAAGTCGCGTGTCAGACAGCATTTAATGGGGAAGCATTTAATATCGCATTACCACTTCAGAAAAGCTACAGACACTAACACAACAGCATACCAAGATCTCATTTTGGCCAACATCGATGCGATTGTCCATCAGTCTCCCTTTCAATGTAGTCCATGTAAATTCTACACGAATTGGTTATCCACTTTCATGCAGCATTGGTTCTCTGAGGAACACGAGCAACGTTTGCAGAACATGGAAGGCAAATGCTGGTGTTCCTTTTGTAAATTTGAGTGCGAAACTTCTCAAGAAATGATGGAACATATGACGAGTTCAGATCACAGTGAAGTGGTGGCCGTCATTAATAGATCCATGCCAATTATTATAAGAAAGAAATCGGTATTGAAGTGTGAAACTTGCTATAAGGAGTTTCGCTACAATATTGAGATGAAACGACACTGCCAGAGCACTGGTCATCCATTGGCAATCACAGCAACCGACAATTACCAGGAACTGCACAAATGTCAGCATTGTAAAGCGAAATTTAAGTCTTCACTTACTCTAGCTGCTCATTTGAAATCTAAACACAAACAAAGAGCTTTCTTATGTTTGGTATGTGAAAAGACATTTACCTCTTCTGAGGAAGCCAAGCGTCATCGCCAGACTTCGGAACACAGGATTAGAAGAACTGAAAACATAAGGGTCCAAGGAGGGTCAGCCAAGGATTTGAGCAAAAAATGTCCTTATTGCATTGAGAGTGTAATTTTGAGAAATATCTTGGTTCTGAAGGATCATATACGAAAAGTTCATCCAAATATAAGGAAAAAGTAAGTAATAACTCTTAAAAATATAAGTGATTGTTATTCGTCTTAATATTTATGATATTTTAAATAATTTTCAGATGTCCTAAATGTGGAATGACGTTTATCCTATCGCAAGAAGTGACGCGTCATGTCAGAGACAACGCATGTCAGTTTCGTCCCACTACCGAAATAAACTCTTCCATCTTCTGGAATTGTAGTCAGTGCCTCTTCACAACTGACTCACAAGCTGAATGTTTCTTCCATGAAGTCCTCCACACGCCACCAAAAAGAGAACTCTATAAAATTAGTGACGTTGAAAAGATTGTACAGAAGTATCCTTGTCCCCTTTGTTCCAAAAGTTTCAAAAAAGCTTCTCTCCGTCAACATCTGAGACAGCATACGTTTGAAAGACCATTTGTCTGTTCTGTTTGTGGCGCTAACTTTACTAGACAGTCAAGTTTGGTGAACCATTCGAAGAATGAACACGGCTCTGGAATTACGAAGGTTAAACTTCCAGATATTGCGGAGACAATGGAAGAATTTGAATGTGTGAAGTGCAAGACCAAATTCAATAACAAGTAAGTATTTTTTACTAACTCTACACAAAAGTCTTTTCAAGCTTGAATTTGTTGAAATACTATTGTCATTGTTTTGTACTTTGTACTAATAGTACCTAAGGTTTACAAGAATGATCAAATTATGACGGCAACGCAAACAAAACTCATAGAACCCAAAATAAACGGTGCATCAGTGGGTAGTCACGAAGACATCAATTTGCGTTAATAGGTGGCGGGCGAGCAGCGGATGCGTTACATGTCACACGTCACACAACTCCTTCACAAATATCGGGATACATTCATAATTTGACACGAGCGCTTTGATTATGCTCTTGCGCACCGCATTCCCGCCCGCGGTGTTGCCAACGATGACATTTTTATACCCTATATTAATAAATTTCTGCCCGGATGCAAGGTATTTTGAGAGACTGCTGGATCAAAATATTAGTGTCAGAGAGAGATAGTGGACGTTTGAATTTTATTGTTAGCACATGTTCGTACAACATATTGGAGATTTGCATTTTGATCTGTGAGCAGTGTGATGGTGTTAAATCGCATATGGTTTATTTGCTTTGACACTTGCGCTTCAAGCATTACAATTTATACGTCTACCGTCACTATAAATAGTCCGGATCAGTCACAAAAGGTTAATTTTAAATTGGAGCGTTTAAGCCAAAAAGTGTTGACATAAAGGTCTAACTGGTCCGTGTGGTGACGGATTAAGAGGTCCGTGTGGTGACGGATTAAGAATACAGAGTGTCACCACCCCTTTTCATCCCGTGGGTGTCGTAAGGACCGACTAAGGGAGCAAACTACACAGGACTGCAGAGAGAAGGAAAACTTGACACAAACCCTATACCAACCCGTCTGGCCAGCGTGGTATAGTAACCCAAACCTCCTTTCTTCGGAGAGACTTATGTCCAGCAGTGGACTATTAAAGGCTGTTGATGAAAGGTCTAACATAAGTACTGATTGACCCAGTGGCGTTTTTGCTTAAATTGGCGTGCGATCGTGAGGTTCTTTTCTAGCCCCATTGAAGTTACAATTCTTGGGCCGCCGCGTAAAAAGTTACGAAGTACTTCTTGTATAGTATAGTATAGTATAGTGTATAGTATATATTTTGGTAGCAGAACAAAATCTAGATAATCGCCTGCTAGTACATTCTGGGACATTATTTTCAATGTAATCAATCTTAGAATAATATTATATTTATAGCCTATATATTTGAAAAACAACCTGTCCTAGTGGTATGCTGTAAGCTACATCTTTAGTCTCAAATACAGAAACATCCACTATTGTTATCTCAAATTTTCCGATGATTTGTTCGCGAGGCTATTTAGTATAATCGAAAGCAAGGACTTACGTAAATCTATTGGTAATGATTTTATTGAAAAATAATACGAGAACATTCAGGTTTTAATAGTGATGAATAACCATCTCCACCCCATCACAGTGTTTGCCATGTATTAAAATACACACACACACACACACACATGAACTTGATACACTTGACTTGTGTAAAACAAAAATACGAGAGGCCAAACTATATTAGTTAGAGATCGCGTGCTTATTGAAATTTCTTCCAATGTGTTCTTTCATTTGAATGACCAGTGTAAATCGAACTGTCCTTTTATGTAATTGCCGCACTGTGACGGGTCAACGTATATACTAAGCACGTCTAGATATAGACATTATCACGTAATTTTAAAAATTAAAACATATTTATTATAAGTTTTTACATTCTTGCTTCAGCTACTTACTTCCGTTAACGAAGTTAGCTTAAATTGAAAGGGGTATAAAGATTATCTTTGTGTATTAAAATATACCTAAATATCATTAAATATATACAAAATTATGTCTTGAAAGCCGTACCTACACTTCTGAATTGTATTCTTTAAGTTTAAACATGAAATTTTTCTGAACATTCTTTAAACACAAGACAGTTGTAGCAACATAATAATTGCCCACAGAAATAGCTTTGATTGCCATTAATTTCTCAGCTTATTCAGAGAAAGTTTTCTCAGACCAGATTAAAATTTATACTTGAGATAACGTCGACTGGGTATCAGTAGAAAATCTTGATTAAATTTTCTCTATTAATACTAAAATCGTAGTAAGATGTAGAACTTACAAGCCGCAAGCCGCATGAATCAAGTTGGTGCGTCATTAAACCAACTTTCAACATATCTAGACAATTGTTAGACGCGGAGGGCCATTGCAGGGCGCCTAAGAGCGCTGATGATCTAACTTGGGCAATATCTTATGGGTTATGGCGACGCCTTGCATTAATGCACTGCAACTGTAATTCGACGTCGCTGCTAACGGCCGCTGCGGTCGCTCGGTGTTGCCAGATTATGCGCAGAATTATTACTAAAATGATTATTGCTGAATTTTAGCGCTCTATAAATGGTTTTGACTGTTTTTGTTAAACGCGTAATTAGTTTTTATTGTGTATAACAAGAGATTCGAATAAGCAATAATTTTGGTTTGTTAACTTTAGTAAATACGAAATTAACCGTTATTACTAAAACTACTAATGAATTATCACCCCCATAACCTATTCATCACTCCTAATGCAAATAATGGTTTAGTTACAAAAGATAATAAAAAAAAAATATATGAAAACATACTATCATTGTGCCAACCTCAAAAATGGCCACAGCCAAGGACTAAGACAAGATATACCAAATGAAGGAAAGTTACATTAATTTCATTACGTGATATCTCGACACGTGTTTTAATTTGAGCCAAGAAAATAAAGGATTTAAGTCGAGTTTAGGTTGACAAATCAAGCTATTAACAGTCATCGAACTCCACGACTACTTATACTTAAAAAACAATGGTGCTAATTCTATTCGAAAACTCTCTAAACTTAACTAAAAATCACTAAAAAATTGTTTAGTCCTATCAAACAATGTTACTAATTCTGAAAACGTAGTATTTGATAGGACAAAACAAACTATTTGAGGTTTTTAGTTTAGTTTAGAGAGTTTTTGAACAACAGAATAAGCACCATGGGCTGCCATTTTTTCTTAATTCTGGTTGGACTGACTGACTAAACTTACGCTCACGGTGAATTTATTCTCAATCAATCGGGGAAATGAGTAAAGAAGTCCAACTGCTGAAGAGGCTGCGAGGGATAAAAGCTGTTTAAAAAATACACAGATCGTAATCAGTGACTAAAATACTATGACACAAGTGATGTCTGCGTCTCTCAATAGTAATAAATTTTCTCCGTTTTTGAAACATTCTTCATTGGTGCTCCGCTCCTATTGGTCTTAGCGTGATGATATATAGCCTATAGCCTTCCTCGATAAATGGGCTATCTAACACTGACAGAATTTTTCAAATCGGACCAGTAGTTCCTGAGATTAGCGCGTTCAAACAAACAAACAAACAAAACAGACTCTTCAGCTTTATAATATTGGTATAGATAATCGCGTGCATGTTGCGCGTTCATAAATAATATTAGCTAAAATAGTTCTCTACACTACATTAATATTGTGTTATGTTTATGCTGCAATATCTCAATATATTTACGTCGTCCGTGTGGTGAAGGATTGAGAATACGGAATGTCACCACCCCCATTGATCCCGTGGGTGTCGTAAGAGCCGACTAAGGGAGCAAACTACGCAGGACAACAGCACTGCAAAGAGAAGGAAAACTTGACACAAACCCTATTCCAACCCAGCCAGCGTGGTATAGTAGGCCAAAACCTCCTTTCTAAGGAGAGGCCTATGTCCAGCAATGGACTATTATAGGCTGTTGAAGATGATGACGTCGCTTTAAAATACGAATCACAAATAAATAATAAAAATAGTATTTAAAACAAAAAAATTAAACTAGAGATTATCAGTTTAGAATCACGAAATAACAGATAATCACACGAGCGAAACCGCGAGTTATAGCGCATTCAATTCAAAGTATATTTTTTGGAATTAGGTCACAAATGACGAAGATACCTCCTCCTTTTTGAAGTCGGTTAAATAGACACATTCGACCGGAGTGCTTCCACGGCCTCACAAGAACCGGACCTTTATAGGAAAGTAATTCTTGCGTTGTTATTTGCCGAGTGAGCGAGTCCATTAATCATTTAAAATTAGGTGCCCTATATACTACAAAAAAACCTAAATTACTAAATCCAAATGCATTTGTCTTGTCTGCACATCAAGGTTTAACTAATATGTATAAACTTTTTTTTGCAGGAGTGCATTGGCGCGCCATTCGAGTAGTTGCAACCGAGCCGCCATAACTCTTGAATGTCCACATGATCAGTGCTCTTACATCGCCACTAAATCGAGTCAATTAGCAAGGTATTTTTTTTCATTAAATTAAAACATAAAAAAAAAAAACATTTCAGAGCGCCATCTCTTATTTTGTAGCAGAACTACTTGCAGTCTTAGTGAAGTATTAGTTTGAATCAGTCAAGTATGTGCAACTCGATTTCCGTATATAGATGACGCTGGTTAAATACCTTAACATCTAACTGACGAAAAATTTCCAACTTCACTATTTGACACAAGATGGCGCTAAATTAACTTTAAACCATTTTTTAGACATCGACGAACTCATGGCGAGAGGATAAAACATCACGAATGCCACATCTGTTCATTTAAGAGCGATCAAGCAAGTCATATGAAGCGTCACCTGCTTTGTCATCAAGGAGTCAAACCTTACGAATGCCCCCATTGTCACTTCACTTGTGGGAGCTTGGTTAGTAAAGTATTCTATCAAAATTGAAAACACCTTTTGATCCGCCTGTTCGACGTAAGGGAGGGTTATCAATGTAAACATTTTGAATTATATTCAAGTTACTTAGATATATGTGCAGAAGTATTAAATCTGTCTTTGTTTGGGGTTTTAATAGGCCGCTAGTAAGAATCGGGTTCCAATGATCAAAAGCCTGAACGGTATTCATTTAACACTCGGGAACCCGTCTGCTTGTTTACCCCCTGTATCATAAAAACAGACAACAACATAACTTTTCTACTCAGCGCCCTAGAGATGTACTATAATTTTAATTTCAATACCAATAGTTGTGCTATGCTAATATCTCTGATTGACGTTTTACTTTTTAAATACTGTTCTTCTTATTTTTAGGAAAACCTACGCAAACATGTTCTTCGTAGTGGTCGACACCCTGGTTTATATCTATACCACTGCCGGTTGTGTCCATACAACACTAACACAGCGACAGAGCTTCGGGTACATTTAACCACAGCTCATGCACACAAATATGATGCAAAGTCTGCTGTACAAGCTGTGAAGGTGCATCTCATGGTCAATGATAAAAAAGACGCTATGTAACGTGACCATTTCTAATAAAATTGCAAGAAGACATTAAGAAGAAATTAACAATCATTAAATAAATGTTTAAACATATTTTACACACCTGTTGATTACCATTTATTTAATCACACTAAAGAGAGTCCAACGAAAATAAGATTTGATGAAATTTGATGTACGAAATATCAACAATACAGTATATTGTGACTGGAACGCAATCTGTCAAACAGCGCGCAACCGCAAGAGCGAGGGAAAAATTCAGAAATTATGAAATAACGATACAGTGCTGACGTCTGTCCGTTTTCTTCGCTATCGGCAAAAATAATTCAATTGAACAGCTGTGAAATACGACAATACATCACATAAACATTTGTAAATCAAACAGGTTTTTTAGGTAAATTACGTAATATGTGACGGGATATGTTTTATTGACTGTATTTAGTATACGTTGGTAAATAAATAGTGGAGTGTTTTCAAATGTTGTAATTTTTGTGTAATGTTTGTTTGTATCCACGTGCTTCAGATCGATTTGCATCCATAATGTCTCTGAAGGTGAGTGATTCTATGTATTGATTTAATTTTTTAGACGTAGGTATACAACGCGAGCGGTTCGGTATTTAATAATATTTCGCGTGGGTAGCTCAGAGCTATGTAATTCGCTCACATATTATTATTAGGAATTTGATATGATTTGTTATTTTTAAACATAAATTATCACATTATTTTATTTGTTTTTATGATAACTGTAATAGACCGAGTTTCAAACACAATTTTTTTAAATAAAAAGTTACAGTGCCATCATACAACACGTTCCATTTAAAAAAAAAGATTGTTATCTTTGTTATGTAGATGCTTAAAATATTTTGTTATGCTTGATGAGTATGATTTGTGGTGGCGATGTTATATGTAATTAAAAAAAGGAAGATTTAGGTCCTTTTTAGTGGGTACGACTGGGCACTATATACTAGCTGACCCCACAAACGTTGTTTTGCCATATAGATTATTTAAAAAAAAATTGTAAAAAAAAAATAGGGGTATGAAAAATAGATGTTGGCCGATTCTCAGACCTACCCGATATGCACACAAAATTTAACGAAAATCGGTCTAGCCGTTTCGGAGGAGTTCAACTTCTAACACCGTGACACGAGAATTTTATATATTAGATATATATATTTACTGGAAACTTCACGAGTTTTTTATGTAAACCGGGGTTGTCTATTTGATTTTATTTTGTCTTTTTAAGAGCTGCTCCTGTTTCCAGCTTATTAATTTTGACAAATTTTTGTTCATGTTATAGTTCTGAAATTTAAAGCACTCTGCTTATTATTGACTGAATAACATTTTTTTTCAATATTAGCCAGTCCATTCCAATTTTTTATATTTTTGATAGTTATAGTCTATAGAAGCCCAAAATCGATCTGGCGTGGCGTGCAATGGGAGAGGCCTATGTCCAGCAGTGGACTGCGATAGGCTGATGATGATGATGATGATAGTCTTAGAGAAAAATTGAAGTTTGGCAGATGAAGAATTGCTAGTTAAAGTGTCAGTGCTTCAAGGAACACCATCGGGAAGACTGGCATGGTAGGAGATGATATGGAACAACTCTATTCAGTTAAATAGACCCTTGGATGTACATTGTGATTTCAATTTATATGATTAGTTACTTAATAATAACAAACAAATATTTAATTGAAATTAAAACTATTAAAAATTTAACTGTAATAGGTATTAGTTATCTATTTAATTTACACACAGACTTAACACATATTTTACTTATGAGAAACCTTGTTGTTTAAACACTCATTACTTGGAATAATTGATTAGTCTTTCACAATGCAAAGTTGTCTGAATGTCACCTCCACTAAGTAACGTGAAAATATTTAAATATGTTATGTGTTTAACAAACTACTTATATGTGGCATAACATTTAACATGTGTATGTGAGTCTGAGGTATCATAGCTCCTAAATTGATGGACCAATTTTGATTCGATTTTTGTTTGAAAGATGATTTGATTAAATTTGTTCTTAGCTATAATTCAAGAAAATCTCTCATTCAATGTTACAAATATGATCAACTCTAATTGTTAAAGGAGTTTTTGAATGAGGATGTATTAAATTACATACTCATTTAAGCACCATTCCCAACAATTATTGCTATAATTCTAAATTATTATAGACCAATTGTGTTGTTTGGTTGGCAAAATAATTAATAAAACTTGTAAAACCTGTTTAATATTTTATTCAAATATATTTTCTTTGTAGACTACATAATTAAGCTGTTTTGAACTCGCCACAAATGGTCACACACACTTAAATTGTAGTGATATTTTTTACATTTATATAAATGTCGATAAACAAGCACATTCAGGATATTTGTACTGATTACAACCATAATATAACATACACGGAAATACCAAATGCAAATAATTCTTTTTCTAGATTAAGGTTGCAGTGACATTGATAAATATTAGTTTTGTTTCTGATGTTACTAATTTTAGGCCTTGTCTTTGTCAGTAAAATACGTAAAAGCTTGAATTGCATGTGAATTATATACACTCCCCGAGTAGCAGTGGTTTCTACAGGGGCCCTGTTTCAAGAAGCAAAGGAAATCATTTTAAATATACAGATCAACCTTCTTATGAGGAGCTCGTGGCTAATTGGTAACCAAATAGGTTACCAAATAAAACTTAAGCTATCCTAGCCAGGTCAGTCTATGGATGGGTGACCATTTTTAACACTGAGACTCCTTCGTGTCTCGAAGAACACGTAAAGCCGACGATCCCGGTTTTCACACGTACATCTGTGTTGGAGCCTTAAAAAGTCCTAGAACAATCTATCTACAGTACTCCGTTATCGCCTATAGTCCATCAAAGTCGTGCGCGACCGTCCTGCGGGGTGACAGACGGTGGCGGGGACGAGGTACTCAAGATGTCAGCGGGTAGCGGGTGGTGTAGCGGGGAAGGGAAACGCTTCTCTTCGTGTGTAGCCGTGTGCTAGAATGACGCGCTACCTCGCCCCCGCCACTGTCTGTCACCCCGCGGGACGGTCGCGCACGAGATTGCCGGGTTATAGTACTTGGTTTATGCAGGTGTGATGGCAGCGGCTCCGCGTAAAAAACGGAGTTCAGCGAAATCATAGTAGAGTTATAGCCGACACCAACTTACCTGGTTTGGAAAAAAAACCGAAGACACAGTGTTTGTACGCCCCTCCACAAGGTGGTCCTACAACCTGGTGAAGGTCGCGGGAAGCCGTTGGATACAGCACAGGACCGGTTTTTGTGCCGAACCTTGGCCTATGTTCAGCACTGGACGTTTTTCGGTCAAGATGAGATGATAGTTCTAGAATTGTAAAGTTCGGATTCTATAGACGAATGTACCCACCATCTTGGTTTTAGTATCGTTATTAATACCATATCCTTTTGATGTTCATGGACATGTCTAAATAAATCGACCTCGTATAAAACATTAAACCTTCAGCAGTTTGTCTTGTTGCCCTTGGGAAAGGCTTTTGTAGCCGCAGCCACCCCATTTAAAAGGTCACTTGTTTCATAAGGCAACCCTTTATCTAAATCGAGACCGTTCGGTTTTAGATCCTCTGCATACCTACCTATGGTATTCACTCGTGGAAAATATCTTTGTGATATTTTCATAAAATAATTCAACAATATCTACGCTAAATTTAAAAAGAGGAAAGATTTGATTGTTTGTTTGTATTTAATAGGCTCCGAAACTACTGGACCGATTTGAAAAAATATTTTACCATTAGAAGCCTACATTATCCCTGTTGAACATAGGCTAGTTTTTACCGCGGGAAAATGCTTCATTCCTACGGGAAAACGGGTAATAGGACAACGGGTAGTAAGAATTATCCTTTCGTACTTTTTCACGTAACTTCTAAACGGCTTGGGTTAAAATTTTATAAGGGTATTTCGATGGTTTCCTGGATGATTTATCTATTCTATATCTATACAAATAAATAAAATTGGAGCGTCTGTTTGTAATATTAAAATAACCGCTTTTTACTAAATGCATATGTATGTTTACACGGTACATATGCCAAAATAACATTTTTTTCAATTTTTGTCTGTCTGTCTGTCTGTTTGTTCCGGGTAATCTCTGGAACGGCTGGACCGATTTCGACGGGACTTTCACTGGCAGATAGCTGATGACATAAGGAGTAACTTAGGCTACTTTTTTTAGACTAGCTTCGCCCCGCGGCATTGCCCGCGGTTATAACAACAAACGCAGGTAACACCGCGGGTCTCAGCTAGTTTAAAAATACAATTGGAGCCGGTAGGTGGCGCTGCTGTCGGTATGTCAACTACTACACTAATGTGTATTTCCATGGTTTCATAGACACGAATGCATTATGCATATATATACATATAACTAAAACTGAATCGCCGTAATGTATGTACCTACTGTACGCGCATAACTTAACACGACGAAACTTTACGCGCACAACTGCAAGAAATGTCTTTTTTTTTTAAATGGGTACACTTACACTAACCGTGCGAAGCCGGGCCGGGCAGATAGTTGTTTATAAGTACAGAAAAATGAATATACGCGATAATGATAAAATAAGGAACAAATAGAAAGAAGATAAAGAAAATATTCAATTTTCTTCTTTTGTATTTAGCACAACCTCCAATACTACTATTTTTAGGGTTCCGTACCTCGAAAGGTAAAAAAGGAACCCTTATAAGCGGAACGGGTAGACCTAGCAAGTTGAAATTTATACCAGATACTGAAGTCTATGGTCCCTATTAGGTGTATAAAAATCAAGGTGCTGAGTCAACACGATAAAAAGATATGGGTAAATTTCGATTATCGCGAAAACTTGTACCAGTATTATATGACTTGTACCAAAATTTACCTTAATTTTCAACTTTTTTTATGTTTAGAATTTTCTCTTTACTTGTTCTGTAAGACCTTGATTTTAACCAAAATTGACAATTCTAGGTCAACCGGGGTCGAAAACCTATATGGTAGTTCCCGTTGACCTAGTTCCCGTTCACGAAATTTGGCAAAAAGAAACGTCTTACAGCACCAATAAAGGAATAATTCCAAAAAATCCAGAAAATCTACGTAAAATCTGGGTAGCTACGGAACCCTCGGTGCACGAGTTTGACTCGTACCGGACCGGTTTTTTTACTGTACGGTTGTATTACTTTTATAAGCCATTTTGAATACTTTGGCTAAGTCTTGTGACACAACATGAAGACACAAAATTATTCACATGTAATATGAAATACCTACATCACAAATACAATTAGCGGTTCTCGAATTGTACCGCTCTAATTGGTATATCGTCATAAAATATTATTATATTTTTGCGAACGTTTGCAAGCTATAAGCTTTACCGTACATATTATTTAAAATTTAATTCTATGAAAAATTACATCCCTAATTTTGAAGTTTATAAAATATTTTCTCAGTAAAAATGTTAATTTGTGAATTGTGCAAATCGTACCTGATGATCTAAGTTATGTAATTAGTTTATGTAAATTAGAGCACATTACATAGACTTTTAATTTTGTGTCTTGTGTGAA